TCTCCAGGAGAAAACCTGGGAAGTGAAATCAGATTCTCCCCGAGAAAAACCTGGAAGTGAAATCAGATTCTCCCCAAGAAACCCTGGGAAGTGAAATCAGATTCTCCCTGAGAAAATCTGGGAAGTGAAATCAGATTCTCCCCGAGAAAACCTGAATCAGATTCTCCCCGAGAAAAGCTGGGAAGTGAAATCAGATTCTCCCTGAGAAAACCTAGGAATTGAAATCAGATTCTCCCCAAGAAACCCTGGGAAGTGAAATCAGATTCTCCCCGAGAAAAGCTGGGAAGTGAAATCAGATTCTCCCTGAGAAAATCTGGGAAGTGAAATCAGAATCTCCCCAAGAAAACCTAGGAAGTGAAATCAGATTCTCCCTGAGAAAACCTGGGAAGAGAAATCAGATTCTCCCTGAGAAAACCTAGGAATTGAAATCAGATTCTCCCCAAGAAAACCTGGGAAGTGAAATCGGATTCTCCCCAAGAAAACCTGGGAAGAGAAATCAGATTCTCCCCAAGAAACCCTGGGAAGTGAAATCAGATTCTCCCCGAGAAAACGTGGGAAGTGAAATCAGAGTCACCCCAAGAAAACCTGGGAAGAGAAATCAGATTCTCCCCGAGAAAAGCTGGGAAGTGAAATCAGATTCTCCCCAAGAAAACCCGGGAAGTGAAATCAGATTTTCCCTGAGAAAACCTGGGAAGTGAAATCAGATTCTCCCCGAGAAAACCCGGGAAGAGAAATCAGATTCTCCCTGAGAAAATCTGGGAAGTGAAATCAGATTCTCCCCGAGAAAAACCTAGGAAGTGAAATCAGATTCTCCCGAGAAAACCTGGGAAGTGAAATCAGATTATCCCTGAGAAAACCTGGGAAGTGAAATCAGATTTTCCCTGAGAAAACCTCGGAAATGAAATCAGATTCTCCCCAAGAAAACCCGGGAAGTGAAATCAGATTTTCCCTGAGAAAACCTGGGAAATGAAATCAGATTCTCCCCAAGAAACCCTGGGAAGTGAAATCAGATTCTCCCCGAGAAAAACCTAGGAAGTGAAATCAGATTCTCCCTGAGAAAACCTAGGAATTGAAATCAGATTCTCCCCAAGAAAACCTAGGAAGTGAAATCAGATTCTCCCTGAGAAAATCTGGGAAGTGAAATCAGATTCTCCCCAAGAAAACCCGGGAAGTGAAATCAGATTTTCCCTGAGAAAACCTCGGAAATGAAATCAGATTCTCCCCAAGAAAACCTAGGAAGTGAAATCAGATTCTCCCCGAGAAAACCTGGGAAGAGAAATCAGATTCTCCCTGAGAAAACCTTAGTCGTCAAGGAGGAGATCCCATACCTTTTCACTCAAGTACTTTATCAACTGCGCCACCCAACCACTCTCACATACTATATATAGCTATCTCTATTTACACCACACATTTTAGTTTAAAGTGGAGATTTTTTTTAGCACAAATAAAATTTTGGAGAACTACATTTCCAAAACAAGACAGCTTTGAATATTTGTTCCTGGGTCCTTAACTTTGTGTACAATTATAGCTCTCAGGAGATGAATAAAAAGTAGACAGAAAGCTAAAATTCTGTCCCTACCTAAAGAATCCTTATCCAAAAACAGGCAGATAAAATAATCAAAGATTACTTTCTACAGTCCAAAACTATGAACTGGAAATGGCACCAGATAAGATGTGAAGATGATATATATATATACAACAAATGGCTCCTGTCATGGTTATAGTAATATCATCTTTCCTTACTATTTGGTTTTACGCCATTTCACTAGCAGGTTAAGAAGTTTAAGTGAATGACTAACACACTTAACAGATGATTAATAACAGGAGTACATCACCAGTCTTTATGGTCACGTTTCCATAGATACAAGAAAGGAAGCACAAGACACTTCACGTGATTTTCATTAGGGCTGCATTTTATGTACAAAATGTGCAATACTGACGAATAAATATTTGGGAAGAATTCACCGAGATACTTTTTCAACATTTTTAGGAACAGTTACAGGAAAAAAAAGGCATATAACTTTCCATTCAAGATGAACAGCTACAGATATTTTCAATATGTTCAGCTGTTGTTCACACTGTGAAATCTTACTTAGCATTTGTTTCTACTGGGCAGTGTTATTCAAAAGAAACAAGAGGCCCAAGGGCCTTAGCGGTCACATAGTTATATCAAAGGTACTGGTAGCTTTATTTTATTGTTTAGATATGATGTGGAAATCAGCATGTACACTAAGTGAAATACAATACTTGTCATGTCATCAATGGATAAGAATTTGAAAATATTGGTAAATGTTCCCTTTGGGGCCCCGCCCTCGCCCCTGGGGATGGGGCAGGAATCCCAATTTAACAAAGTAATACTCTCATTCACCCAAGATGATTCTGACTAAGTTTGAGTAATTTTCTGCTGAAAATGGATAAAATATATACCGAAAAGTGTTATTTCCCTATATAAACTATATTAAACTTTACCCCCTCCCCAAGGGAGAACGGATAGCTCGGGGGTCCTGAAATTTACAATTTAAATAAAGCCCCTGATGATTTTCTTTCCATGCAGAGAAAATGAATGTAGTAC